TACTTCCAAATGACCAATGAGTCAGAAAAGATGTCATAAGGGAAAACAGAACATATTTTGAAATGAATGATAGTAAAAATACTGTATATCAAACAATGAGATGCAAAGAAAGATGTATTAATATTTAAAGGATACTTTAGAGATTTAAATATATATATTAGATAAAACAAAGTTTTAAAATTCAATGATGTAAGTATCAATGTGTCTATCTCAACTTTTTGAAAATATTTCTAAAACATGTATCTTGCATAGGGTTTATATGTATAATATATAACAAATTTTACAGCCCAATAATAAGAAAATCTCATTTAAAAATGTACAAAAGATTTGGGTAGATAGTTCACAAATGAAAATACCTGACTGGCTAATAGGTATATGAAAAAAATCTTTAACATCATAAGTTATCAAAGAAATGCAAAATGAAACCCCAGAAGAGATATTATCACACATTATTAGAATAGCTGACATTAAAGAGACTGACCATACCAAGTGTTGGTGGGACAATATTGCTAGTGGGTATGCAAAACTGGGAAATAGTATGGTGGTATCTTAGAAAGATAAACATACACCTAACATAGAACCCAGCAATCTCATTACTAGTTATTTATCCAAGAGAAATGAAATACACATGTATATAACATCTCATACAAAAATGGTTATGACAGTATAACTCATAGATGGCAAAAAATAGAAATAACCCTAGTGGCCATCAACCGGTAAATAAATAAAAAATTGTGATATTTCTATACTATGGAATACTATATAGAAGTAAAAAGTAGCAAAGTATCAATGCATGCAAAGACATGGATGGATCTCAAAAATACTATATTAAGTGAAAGAATTCAAGCACAACAGACTATATAATCTATGATTTCATTCACTTTAAACTCTAGGAGAGACTATAGTGATAGAAGGCAGATTAGTAGTTGCCTGAAGTCCCTTGTCTGAGGAGGTGATTGACTACAACAGAGTATAAGGACTTTTTAGGGTAATAGATTTGTATTTTGACTATGGTGGTGTTTCCATGACTATGAGCAATTACCAAATTTCACAAAATGTATACTCAAAATGAATGAATTTTATTTTACATAAATCATAATTTAATAAAAAGTAAAATGATTGCAGAAATGCGAGGTTGATTAAACATTTGAAAATAAATATAGCATAAAGAGACATTAAAGGGGAAAAATCATTTGGTCCTCCCCATAGATGTAGAAAAAGCAGCTAAAACTTAACATCCATTTATAATAGTACATTAAACACATAGCACAGGAAAAATGTAACAGAATTTCAGTAACCAGTTCAATAGTATCTAGAAGAAGACTTTAAACATTATATATATATATAGTGGGTATTTAGTGGTGAAATTTTGAAAGATTAGTGTTTAAAACAAGGAATCCTGCTATTGTCACTTCTAGTCACAATTTTATTGGAGTCTCTGTCTGCAGAAAGGTTAAGATAATAAGAAAAAAATCCTTTACAATTAGAAAGAAAGAAATAAAGCTATCATAGCACAGATGATAATGATTGTGTACAAAGAAAATTAAAAACAAATCCATGAATAAATAATAATAAGTAATAAGCAACATTAGCAAATTTGTTGAGTAGTAGGTCTATATATAATATAAAATCAAAAATATAATAGCTGTATGTAGCAACAAATATAAAATAAAATTAAAAATGTTATGTACACTTTTATATATTATATTAAAATATAAAACACTTAAGAATAAATCTAGTGAAATATGTATAAGATCTTTACATAGAAAATAGTAAAATATTATTGAGAGAAATGTAAAAAAATAAGTGAATGGCTATACCATGTTATGGATTTTGTCTCAGTATTGTAAATATATTAATTTCCCCACAAAATGATATGTATATAAATGCAAAGAGCCAAGCATAGCCAACACATTCTTAAAGTAAAAGAAGTTGGGAGGACTTATGTGATCAGATATCAAAACCTACTATAAAGCTGTACTAATTCAGAGATGATATTGGCACAAAGAAAACTAGACCAAGGTATAGAATAGATTTTCTAGGAACAGAACAATTTATTTCTATCAAAGATGGCACTTCAGGACAGTGGCCAAAGAAGAATCTTTTCTGTAAGTGGTTCTGGGGCAAGTGGATATCCTCGGGGAGAAAAATTGTGCTTTACCTCTACTTCACATGACACATAAAATAATAAATTCCAGGTAGATATTCTATCAAAATGTGAAAGGTAGAAACATAAAATGTATAGAAGATGATAGAATATCTTTATCAACTCCGGATAAAAAAGGATTTTATAAACATGACCCCCATATGCACTAAACATAAAGGAAATGTCAATAGATAGGACAATGCCAAAATTAAGGTATTTCATTAAGAAAGTAAAAAAAAAAAACCCACTGAACAGCAGAAGACATTTGCATGACAAGTAACTAACAAAGGGCTAGTGTCTACATTGTATGAAAAAACCACCACAAATCGATAAGGAAAATATAGCTTAATATAAAAAAATAGGCAAAGGAGTTGAACAGGCATTTCACAAAAAAGAATATATCCAAATGGCCATACACATGGAAGAGTGCTTTACTAATCAGAAATTGCAAATTAAAGCCACTATGAGACACAATGTGTACCCCCAAATAGCTAAAGTTACAATGACTGACAATACCAAACGCAGAAGAGGATATGGGGTACAGAAACCTGCTCATACTAATGGGGGAAGTAGCAATCAGTACAATTGCTAATTACCTGTCAGCGTATATATATATATATATATATATATATATATATATTAATATATGTATACACTTATGGTCTTGTGATTTTATCTCAACCACCCAACAGACTTGTGTGTACATGTGCACTAACAGACTGTATAAGACTGTTCATAGCAACATCATTACAGCCAAATACTGGAGACAATCTAAATGTCCATCCAGAGCAGTATGGATAAATTGTGCAATTTTCATACAATACAGATACTATGTAACAATGAAAATGAATGAATTATTGCTGTCTGCAATGGCATGGAGGAATATCACCACCAGAATGTTGAAGGAATAAGCCAGACACAACTCCATAATAAGGCAAGTACATGAGTCCATTCATAAAAAGTTGAAAAACAGAGAAAACTAAATTGCACTCTTAGGCATAAAGATAGAGATGATCTTTGGGGAGGAGGAGGAGCTTCATGATCGGGAGAGGGCATGAGGGAATGGTTTTGAGATGCTGACAATATTCTATCTCTTGTCCTGAGAGATAGTTAATTTTTTACAACTATGTCGTGATGAATTATTGGTTTGTTTTTGTTTTATGTGATTTTCTGTTTATGTGTTACAATAAAATAAAATAAGGTAAAAATGTAAAGCAATCATTGGTGACCTTCAAGAGATCAATTTCAGCAATGTTACTAAGACAAAAGAGGTTAAAGGAGGGAAAGGCTGGGCAGGATGTAGAAATAACAATTCCAAATCACTTTCAGGGGTGCCTGGCAATGGGAGGAAAGGATGGAAAAATTTTGCTATTTTAGTTATTATGGTACATTTTAGCTATCTATTAGTAAAATTTTCTTTATTCAAGAGTAGAAAGACATAAATTTGCCTTTTTATTTCCCAATACTTTTTCATAAAATTCTATTAATGAAGTTTCCTTATCTTTTATTTGCATGCGTACTAAACTCACACTAATGTTGGAATTTGAGAGAAATAGACTCTTCTTTTATAAAGGGCTACTTTCATAATTTTGTTCACTCCGTATGACAACTAGGACTGAAAATTGAGGGAAGGCTGGGCATGTCTCAGCTGTATAAAAGAAAGATACTTGTAGAGTCTTGAAAAGACTTTATGTTCCCAGCATGGCATAGAATTCTCTGTGCATGAGGACACTTTGCTGTATTCTCTGGCCTCCGAAAGTGCCTCAGCACAACCAGCTTCTGAAACAACCCATGTACTGATTACAAGGGAAATTGGATAAAAGGTGCCTGCCAGGACTCTATCACACTGTACTGTGTGATCTGCTTCCATATTTTAGTCTCAAAAAAAAAAAAAAAAGTAAAATAAGAGTTAACATCAGTAGAGTAGTAGTTTCTTAAGAGAAAGAGTTCTATCTTGTCCTAGAGATAGAAACAAAGTGGATCATGAAAGAGAAAAGAAACTTCACAGATATCCAGCCAGAAAAGAATTGAGTCAGGAATGGGGTATAATTCTGCTGCTTTGATGGAAGAATTGTTTTATTCAAAGTCCTTTTGGTTGGAAGTAACTATCATTACCAGGACTTCGATCATAGAGTCAGGAAAAATCCAATCATAAATCGTTTCATTTAACTATTTCTAAGAGTTGTGGCCCTACCAACCAGACATTCATCAGATGAAATATCCAAATCAGCTGATTAGTAATAGATTAAGTTCACAAAACATATATGGATGGTGCCAGTGACCAAGAAAGGTTATTACTGAATTTATAACAAAAGCATTAATGTTAAGAATTTGATTTATTCCATCACTTTGTATTGTGGGAACATTGATATCATCCCAGACAGTTTGGGGTTCCTATCTCAGCATATGAAAGTGGAATATATACAACAAACTACAAGCCCCAAATTCACTTAACCCGAGATATTTGAATCACATTCAGTTTCTCAGTGAAAAAGTGAATCTCACACAAATCCATGCAATAACTAAGAACACATAGCTAAACATTCTGCTTCCAACCAGGGATAGATTTTTCCTTCAAAGCATCCAGTGCAGATCTAACTACGATAGTCCTCAGTACACATATCTTAAATGAATGAGTGATATATTTCATGATGACTTTGAAGAAATATATCTCTGATTTTCAATTTGTTTTTTGCATATTATTGTTTGGAATACTGATGACTTTTGTCTTGCACTTTAAAGGATTGCTTTTATGTTGTCACTTAAGAGAACTACATTTTGCTGCTTACACTTAACCTGTATATGTCTGCCTTGAGGCACAGTAATGATTTTACTCCAATCTTTCTCCAGGACATGCTGTCTTGTTAGAGAAGAACCTTGCATTGCATCAGGTTACAACAAAGGTGGATTTACCACACAGTCTCATCCTATATTACTGGGATATGAACTAATTTTGTTTACCTAGTAAGTAATTAAATTCATCTATTGCTAATCAGAATTTTTCAGTGGCTCAATTTCAACTGTTTTGGAGCTAGTTGACCAGTTATTAATATTTTCATTTGAGTGGGTAGAGTTCAAGATTTTGGAGCTCTAAATCTTTGTTAGGTTTGTTAAAGTAACCTGCCCAATCAGGATGGCCCTGGCTCAAACAGTAGACAAACTGGCATTAAAGGTGTGTTTGATTGATTGTACTAACGGCTTCCATTCTACACCCCTCCCTGTACCCACTCCCTTTGCCTTGTAATTAAATTCTTCAGGGCCCTCTGGGCTGAGTGTTCTAACCTTGACTTTGGGATGAGCATATGACTTACCTTGTAAATGGCATGTCAGTAGAGGTGAGCCAAGCAGAGGCCTGAACAAGTGCTTGCATATTTTTGCTCAGTCTCCTGCTGTTCAGTAATTTCCATGAGAACATGCCTGGCTGGCCTTTAAGATGAGGCTTGTGGAGCAGAACTGAGTCTTTGTTTTCCTAGACACCATGGCCAAGGCCAATTAGCCAACAGCCAGCTACCCCCGACTTGAGAGTGAGCTCAGGTAAGGTAAAAGAACTGCTCAGCTGCACCCAGCCTAAATCAACAACCCATACACCACTGAGTAAATGAAATGCTTACGATTTTAAGCCACTGAGTGGTTTGGGGTGGTTTGTTACAGAGCATTATTGTAGATGACTGATAGAAGGTGGTATTGTCAACATCTAGTTTTATGATTAAATTGGTGATGTAACACTTCACAAACTCATTCATTTTGCTTCTCAAATTGTCAGAGCTGGCCAGAAGGGACCTTCAATACATTTGAAGGTTAACTGCCTGGAAGTATAGGAACATAAGACAGAGGGGTTTAAGTTGTGACAAAGATTCTTTGCTTCATCCAACTTTGGTTGGGCTCCTAAACCTTCTCCTAGGCCCATCTGCGTACTTCCTTGTAAAATCCAGTTTTAGCAAAGAACTTTGCTAAGCCAGTTTAGCAAGACACCCCTTCTCCCTCCCACTCCCCCATATCTGATCACTCTCCATATCTGATCAGGCTCCTCATCCTCCACCATCCCCCAGGTGATGTCCAATCACCTTGGCCTGTCTTCAGCAAGAATTTTGTTAGGTCTGTTTAGCCAGAATCCCCCAACCCCTGCTGTTTTCTCTTAGTACTTTCCCATCCACTGACCCCACTCCCGATCTATAGCTATAAATTCCTACCCACCTGTCCTGTATTTGGAGTTGAGCCCAGTCTCTCTCCTCCACTGCAAAATTCCTATGCTTTAACAAGTGTCATTAAATAATTTTTTCTTTGACAATTGCCCCCTCTCTTCTGCAGCTGACAGTGGCCATAGAGTCATGCTGTAGCCTGGTGGCAGCATTTGCCTCTCTTTTGCCACAGACCAATTTGTCAGCCCAGGGGCATGCAGACGTTGTAAAGTGGTGGTTCTTTCTTGTGTTCATGTGCACTATTCTTCATTGACTGGTGTTCACTTAATGGGAAGAGAAAACCACCAGGGAATATTTCTCGCCCTCAGGAAGTGCTTGAAATGTGTAGATCATATTTTTCTAGTTACTAAATAATGATTTCATCTTGCTTAGTGGATCATGGGGACTCTCAAATCATATATATTTTAAGATTTCTGACTCTAAGAAAGATGTTTAATTCCATTGTGATATTTTTGCAGTGTAATATGGAATACAGTGCCAATGCATTTCTATAAGTGGATTCTTATCTAATAATAATACCAAACTTAATATGTTTTTTTCTAGATTAGCACTCTAAAGTTCCATGTCCTCATCAGAGTTAAAGTTATCAGGGAGAGAGGAAAAGCAAAAGCTTAAAATAACTCTGAGAAATATTATTTGGGAGATTCTGCTCACAAATCATCTTATTTCACAAGATTCTTGAGAGCTTCATTGCTCCCTGCTGCAACTGGGCCATTTTGCAGTTTGAAGTTTTGAGGTGACTCACCTGAAAATTGAGTTAAAAGCAGACCGAATAAGATGGCTCACCAAAATGACAGATGTAATATTTGAGACTTGCGAAGAGTGAAATTCTTCAAGGCGTTCTCTCTTCTTCCCTCTCACTATGTTTTTTTTTTTTTTCTTCTTCAGGACTGACCCACTTGGAAAATTTTGAAATTTCTAGTTCATTTCTTGATTGACAAATATTAAGATTCTGACATCTAGACTATAAAGACTGATAATTTGCACAATGTAACACTTCTACCTTAGATCTTCAGAGGAATAATGGAAGAAATATAAAAAATATCGAGAAGCAGACACTGTCACTGGAAATTATTTAAAAAGTACTGTTAAAAAGCTGGGAACATTAGTTACTTTCTTTTATATTCAGTCCAGCAAGGCAAGAAAGATTCAGGGCTGACTGGTACTTTCAGAAAAGTTCCACTGGCGACTAATTTGGGGGGTTGAGCCCTACCGGCCATTGTGTTCCCTAGAGACGGTGAATGGACTCTTGTTCCTAGAGTGGATCACCAGCATGTGGAAGCGTTGTATTAGGAGACTGTAGAATTCATGCAGGATTCCATCAAACAGAAAGCTGCCAGTGTGGCAAGAGGTCTTCTAGGCACCTTTGGTTTTTCCATGTTGTGTGCCGAGCAGCAGTCTGGGAAAGCAGACTGGGCAAGGTTTGCCATGCCCCTGGCATTATGGATGAGCCAAAGGGGGGAAAAGAAAAGAATGCTGAAAACTGATCTGCGAGAGAGTGGATCACCAGATTAAGCTCCTCCTCCACTTCTTCAAGTCACATACACGTGTGATTTAGAGCAACTAAGCTTTCTGCTTAGGGTCTAAAAAGAAAATTTTAAGAAAAACATAAAAGTCCGTGGGAAGGATCCGAAGAATATAGCCATCCTCATCAGATATGGATGTAACCACAAGAAAACGCTGCAATATGGTGCTGAAGAAAACGTTCTCATGCGTGAAAGGAGGAAGATGCAGATGTTTTATTTCTAAAATAGTTTTTATAAGAAAGAGAATAAATTTAACATAATCTTTGTGCTTTCAATAAAGCTCCAGAAAGTATGGAGCAGAGACATGAGAAATAAGGCAAGAAGCATATTAAAAAGGGAGCCAGCTGAGAGAGAGAGACAGAGAGGGACAGAGAATTCAAAATGAGTTGGATGAGGTAGAAGAACGGGAATTAACATGTAATAGTTGATTCAAAATCTGCATGAGAGAGACTAAAATCTGCAGGAGAAGGATTACAATGGAAAAGCTTTTCTATGATATAATGAATCATAATGTGGATGACGACTTTGAGGAGCTTTTCCAGGATTTGGATGAAGAGGATAATGAAATGAAACTGATGACGATGATATGGTTCATAAATTCTGGCAATATAATGGAAGGAGTGTAAGGAATATAGTGTTTTGAACAACCTCAGACTCAGAGTCTTCCCCTGAACATTAACTGCAAGAAAAAAATGAATCAAGACTTTCAGAATTTTAAGGAAAAAATATCTTTGCCTTTAACATTTATTCCAAATTGGGTTTTCATTCACATAAGAATACAACTGAAAGTACATTTTCAGATACTAATTGGCTTAAAAAGTATACTACTAATAATGTATTATTTATTTTTTTTTCCCCTCTAATCATGGAGATAGAAATAATGTACTCTTCTTAAGCTACAAGAAATTAGAAAGAAAGACAACTCCAAATTTAGAATGGGATTATTTTTAAGAGAAAATGATGAATGGGGAATATGGAATAGAAGTATAATTAAATCTAAATGAATCTTGTGATTGTAGCTGTAAAATCAATTGACTAGGTCATAAGTAGTTACTGAAAGACAATGAAAAATTAAAAAAATAGAATGCTAACAAAAACACCAAGTGAGTGGTTGGGAGTATGTTGTAAAACAAGAAATGTCTTCAAGTTACATGGAGGAGAAGAAATAGATATGTATTTTCTGACATTAAAATTGTTTTAAATTACAGAGAGGTGTGAGATTATTTCATTGTGAAATATAGTGTTCCATACAGAATCATGCATGCAATGGATGCCAAGGGCTTGGTGCTTAATTATAAACACCAGCGTAAGTACCACTAGGTGAAGAAAGTTCGATATCAGCCCCTATCCAGCAGCCTGCTTTGTTCCTCCCTAATTATAATCCTATTCCTTCTCCTCAGACATGAGCATCACCTTAACTTTCCTTGCCTTTAAATAAAATCGCTTTGCCACCGAAACAATGTGGTTTACTTTGGCCTGCTTTTAAACATTATGTAAATAGAATTAAACTGTGTATGTATGTGTTATTTTATATGTTGCTTTTTTTGCTCAACAATTTGGGTCATCCATGTTGCTGATGTGGCCTAGTTTGTTTGATTTATTACTTTATGCTGTGGTCCCCAACCTGCAGGTGTGGCCCAGGACGAATCCATGGCCTGTTAGGAACCGGGGCAAGCATCAGGGACTGAACTCTCCCATGGCCCATCAGTGGAAAAATTGTCTTCTGTAAAACTGGTCCCTGGTGCAAAAAAGGAGTGGAGAACTCTGCAGTTTATAGGATTTCATTGTCTATTCATATAGCTTATTTATCTTTTCTAATGTTGATGAACTTCTGGTTTATTTGCAATTCTGGGCTTTTATGAGATGTATATCTTTAAATATTTTAAAAGGTGATGACATACAATTGAATACAAGATGTATGGTTCAAAAAATAAATCTAAACAATTTGAACATGAAAATAATGGCAAGAAGACAGCAACGAATCTTAAAATAGGATCTATAAAACGGGCTGACAAAAGCAAATACAAACATGGAATAAATGTGAATATGTTACTTCTTTTTAAAAGACAAATATTAGGATTGGGTCAGAAACAATATCTGAACGTGAGCTATTTATCATAGATACTCATAAAATAAAACAATTCAGAAAGGTCACCTGGAGTTACAGAAACAATATTGAACAGTTAGTTTTCAAGGTAAAAAGCATTAAACAGAACAAAAAGGGTCTGTAATTTGAAAAAGGATAAGTGTGATAAAATTTTATAATTCAAACTAAAAAAATGAAATTATATAGAAAACAGAAATTCAAGAACAATTTTAAAATACAGAGATCCTTTTCTCAGTATATGACAGATTAAATAGGAAATAATGTGATATCTAAATAAGATAAGCTCAGATGACTTAATAGATTTAAAGCTACTTTTTTCTTTAACAAAGAAAGAAAATAAAAGATATTTAGTATATAACTAAAAATTAGATAAATTAAGATATAACTTATAAAGGAGAAACAAAAAATCACACTGATAGAAATTAATGAAGTTAGAAAATACAAAAATAAAATACGTATAAAGGGGATATATAATGATAGATATTGAGATTAAAAATTATAAACAAATATTTAAAACTTTACTCTAGATTTCAAAATCTCAACAATAAGTGAATAGGAAGGAATATGAACTGTAAAAAAGGATTCACTAAGAAGGAAAAAATTAAAAACCTGAACATATGAAGAAAAAATCAAGCTAGGTCTTGTAATATTTGTCAAAAATTACTTTTTAAAAATTCTTTGGGCCCAGAACACTGAATTGGTGAGTTCTGTTATTTTGTGAAGCACAGGTAAAGAACATAGATCATTATTATGATCTATAAACTCTTTTATGACATGCCAACAGATGACATTATTTTACAAACTAATGTTACCCAAAATCTGATCATGAAAGTACAAGAGACAAATCCAAAACATCAATCTTATTTATAAATTTAATCTCAACATCATAAATAAATTTATGGCAAGTTAAATTCTAGAGAAATTATAGTTATATGTCAGAAACTAATTTATTACAAAACTAGTAAAAAAATGTGGATGCACATTGTGATGTGGGGCTGATGTGTTAAAGCCTAAATAACAAAGGAAGAAACTAGTAAAAAAATTAACAGTTCATAAGTGTATGTCAACAGTATGGTTATCTAAATTGAAAGGCCAGAGTTGAAAAGGAAAAAAAAAAATATTGCAAATCTCTGTCAAAGAGTTTGTATGCTTAATATTGAAAGGGCTGTTACAAATCAATGAGAAAAGTAAATGCATTATGAGAAAATTGGGCATAGACACAAGCAGACAATTCACCAAAAAAGTAATAAATGTCACCAATAAGCAAACAAACAAACAATTTGGCTTTTCTTGTAATCAAAGCATTAAAACAGCTGCCTAGTATCTAGCTAAGATCAGTTCATTGCAACTTTGTGGAATGGTCTTGAAGTATTCCTAGGGCACTCATGTTCTCAGTACACCCCCTGACACTGGGTCCCTATTTCCAGTATTTGCCTGGGGGATCTATCTGATGCATGCTCCTTTTGTCAACACTGAGTTGACCAAATGTGAAAATCAGACTCTTTCCAACTGCTAAATAACTGATAAGTTATTTTTCTGTTAATCATGCTTACACCCTATAAATTAGATATATAATATAGACCAGGGATCAAAATATACTTTTAATTACTGCATTTAAACTTATAAATGCTACCAAGAAAAACAAACATTAGTATTCTAGTAAGACTTATTATAACATCATTTTTAACTTTCTAAGTTTTATAAATAGAGTAGATGTTTTAGAATATATCCTGTTTAAAGGTGTTAATTAATTAGATCCTTGCAAATCACCACATCCCAAAACAAAATCTATTGACATTATAGGGATCAAAATGTCCCAGGCCCTGAGAACTTTAGCCAAAAACTGTAGGGAGTAAAGGCCACTGTTCCCATAAAGATTTGCTGAAAAATAAGTGACATGAAACAGATTAATTAATAGGAGGAAAAACTACAAACTTATACATGGGAACCTTTAGAATGAACACTCAAAAATATAGGGACAATGGTCCATTGTTTTGCTTATGATCAACAAAGTATGGGCAGCTGTGTAGAAGTACAACTGGACAAAATGGGTGTGCCCAAATGCTAACAGGCTGGGTGACAAATCCTCTCTAGATTCTTTTTGGCCTCTCTGAGTGTGCATTCCTTCCTTCTGAGTGTGGGGCAGGACACTTTCTGGAATGGGGGTTTTACAGTAAAACAAAGTAAGTCAGATCATTACTTTATGGCCAGTTTTTACATGGAATAATTTTAGGTATAAAGGAGTTCTGGCCTTTACAACCTGCCTTTGGGAAGAGGGATTCTGACTTTTATGAGTAGCTTCAGGGAAGAATGGGACTAAAAGGCAGGAAGACAAGGGAAAGTCAGAGAACTTTTGCTTCTGAGGCCTTAATTTTAGGGTGGTTTTCTAAGCCCCATCAACATGATTATCAAAACCTTCAGCACCAATCCTTAGCATCTCAAAGACACAAAATTGTAACACCTTTGTTTTTTTTTTTTTACATGAGGATCAAGATTAAGCTGTTTTACAAACAACATAAATAGTCTGGAAACATTTTCCAACTTGGTATAAACTTGAGTATATGCATTATTTCCAAAGAGTAAGACTGTCTTGAGATTCTCTTTGGATTTTAACAATCATTTTTTTAAACTTAAAATAAATTAGTATACAAAAATTAACAGTTAAGGATTTTTTCCTAGACAAAATATTTGTTATAGCAACATAATGTACACATTACCTGTTAGCAAATCAAGAGTGGACATGACCAAGAGACAACTAAAGCTTCCAGTTTAAGCTCTTGTAACTACAATTTCTAGGACAGCTGTAAATCCCTAACACTACTGTTAATATCAGATGATAGAAAGAGTGAATTAGAAACATGTTTTTTTTTTTTTTTTTTTTGAGTCTCGCTTTGTTGTCCAGGCTAGAGTGAGTGCCGTGGCGTCAGCCTAGCTCACAACAACCTCAAACTCCTGGGCTCAAGCGATCCTCCTGCCTCAGCCTCCCAAGTAGCTGGGACTACAGGCATGCGCCACCATGCCCGGCTAATTTTTTATATATATATCAGTTGGCCAATTAATTTTTTCTATAGGAGAGACGGAGTCTCGCTCTTGCTCAGGCTGGTTTGGAACTCCTGACCTTGAGCAATCCGCCCGCCTCGGCCTCCCAGAGAGCTAGGATTACAGGCATGAGCCACTGCGCCCGGCCTTAGAAACATGTTTTATGTGTACCTTTCTACAGACATTAAAATTGGTGGAGTAAACTATATCTGTAGTAGGATTAAAAGACCAAAGCCAAAATGTTTTCATAAAACTTTGACCATAAGTTTCTGTTTTTGTGCTCTATTTACTTGCTGTTTTATTTATTCTGATTTGCTGAGACTTATTATTTTTTAGGCACGTCTACATTTTTATCTAATTAAAAACCTTAAAGTTAAACACATAGATATTTTTGTTGATAACTCAGGAGATCTAGCTATTACCATTAGACCAACAATATTAAATTTACCTTACTTATCAAAAATCATACAAACACAGATCATTTTGTCTTTGGCTGGGTTTATAGTTTTATAACCTTTGGGTCAAACACTGACACTTTAAGAACATAAAAATGTCCAGTAAAACCCAGGCAAAAAATGTATGGCAACAATTTGAAAACATTTTTATTCTTACGTTACCAATAACACTACTTTTAAAAGAAATAACTCAGCTTATTTACCAAAGATTACTAAATTCACATGAAATATTTGGGTTTGTTTAACTAATATATGAATGCTCCCTTATGCATAAGCCAGTCCAGAACCATGTAGGCACAAATATATAATATGTGGGCATACACAAAACATATCTAAACATACACATGCACACACACACACAAAGTTCCAATAGATTTTACCCTAGAACGCTAGCCGTGAGATAGTAACACAGCTCACTGGTTTGAAAAGACAACTTGATCCAAATTTTTTCTGGCAAAACTGGAACTTGTTCACAAGGCTAAACTTTAGTTGCCCTGATAGGTAACCTAATTATGCCTGTGGATCAAAGTTTTGGGTAAAGCAGTTTTTATGGCAATTCGATTTTTTAAAAATCTTCTTTTACTGCCTTTTTTCTTGAGTTTAAAATGAGTTTTCAATGTTTATGTTTTAGCTAGAACTGCCTGCAAGATCTCCAGGTAGTCTTTCAATTGGAGATACAATAAACAATGACTTTATCTCAACATCAATAGAAAAAGTTAGCAGGTTTTAGAGTAGCCAGAAAAGACAAGGGATAGCTGAGAGACTGGACATTTTAACTCTATAGTGGCAGGTTGACCATTTGAGTTCTGAATTTTCCTTGATGTACTTTGGTCTTTAGTAAAAACTGGTGCACA